CCCTTCTACACGACGCACCAATTGTTTACGCCCTTCACGGCGTACTCATAAATTTCTTTGTAAACGCGTATCCTCTATGATTTCCCCTGCATCTTTTAAGCGCGCACAGAAAATTAAGACTAAATTGTCTTTTACGCGTCTGGTTTTATCTCCTTCTACAATACGTTTATTGGTTCCACCTTTATCACGTCCTTCCGAACCTATAAGTCCCTTTCAAAATACATTCCTAGACTCCTCTCTTATTACTCCCCAAATTTCAGTTTCAGAAGATACTGCTGATTATGACATTAACGTCCCTTCTCCAGTCCTTTCTTTGAATTGTACACCTGAGGAACCTTTACCGGCAACTTCTACTTCAGCCCATCTTCTTCATGATAATGTACAGTGTTCATCTTACACCTTCACAATACGTACCATCTTGGATGGACGGATACGTCCTGCTTGAAATGTTGGCTCTAACCGTTTATATTCTATTCGCCGAGGCAACTGTCACTTTCTTTTGGACCCCACTCCTGATTCGGATAATTGTTATTCAGTTCATACCAATTCTCCTCTCCTTTCAACTATGGATCCATTTCAATTTACATCTGACCGCCCTTCTCCTAATTTGAAATTTATTTTATCAAAGTTTTTAACCTTTTTCTTTTACCGACAAAACCGTATTCCCTCCCATGCTCGACGTAAATATTTTAATAGGTTACGCCAGCTTTTGTTAACACAATGGGTTACCTCTCTTGCCCGTTGGTCATCTTCTCATCGTAATAATAGACGTACTCGTACCTTTATTCAATTTCGATACCAACAATCTTGTTTTTACCTTGGCCTTTATTTTGGTTGCCCGTTTTGCAAGACTCCTGCTGCCTATGTTATGTTTCAATTTCGTCATGCTTGTCATATTCATGACAAAAAACTTGTTCACACTCCTTCCCCTCCTCCTTGTCCTCCTTTCACTTTACCTTGTAATCATGTGTCTAAAAGACACGCTGATGGTTTTTATAAAGACGTTACTTCCCGACGCCTAGGAGTTTCCTACCGCAAATCCTATGCTTTCCATCATGTTCTTGAGGACGACAGTGGTTCACTCTCTGCCCGAACTCTTATCTCATATTCTGCTCATAAATCTATCTCCCACCCTACGAAGAAACAACTTGCTCGTCAAGTACGCCATAAAGACTTTTTATCAGACCGGAGCAAATTTTCACGACATGTTATTCAGCCCGATCTTCTTGACTCTTCCATGTGGATGGCCACTAAGGATCATGCTATAGTCATTCCTCCTACCTCCTATAATTTGACTATGTCTACTACTGATTACTTAATTGTCCAGAATATACGTAATCTTGTATCCTCACGTCCTGACGTTTCCTTCTGTTTGAAAGAACGTTCACATCAATCTTCTGTTGCGTTCGTGTCTTCTAAGTTTACGGGTTCTATCCAAAAAGTGGTTTTGAATCCCTCTTCTGTAGTTGCAAGTCATTTTATCACTGACAAACCCACCTTTGGTCCTTTTGTTGGTCCGAACTGCCCTGCTATTGATTATCAAGATTTCAAAACTCTTGGCTTTAGTCGTTCCATTATTGATATGGTCCGAAGGATACTCTCGAATAGTGCTTCCATTTATGTACCTTCTCACAATTTCCTTTAGTTATTAATTTCCAAGCACAACACTTCCTCGGTATCAAAGAAGTATCTTCGAGATGCCATTCAATCTGTTATCACCAAATCGGCTTCCTCTTCGACATTTTCACATCTTTGGAATAGTGAAACAAGGGTTTCTTTCAAACTAGGTCGTGTTAAACCTTGTGATATCTTAATGTTATTGGATGTTTGTGCACCTTGGTTTGATTCACATCCTTACCCTGCTCCTTCTGATTTCCGAACATCGTGGGAATTACCCGCTGATTTTGTTCATCCAGTTTTTTTAATGCGCTAATTGCGCTGGTTTCTTATTAATTAATTACCTCCCTTTTATTATTCTTCTTTTACACTTCATTTCTTTCATGCTTATTTTAAGCTTTCCTATTTCCTTTCCTCTTTCTTTATGAATACAAATTTTATCATTCTGTATCGGAAATTTATATACAGCGCTTTAGCGATTGATGAATTTACTCTATTGAATTACAAAATTTTACAACATTTTATGTCAGCCAGAATTTACACATAAAACTTCGGTTAAAGATTAATTCGACTAGCTTGCTAGTG